TCCCTGCCTCCACTCATCCCCTCCAGCAGTAGCTTTTGAAGTCAATATAGTACCAGATGAATGGAACATACTTTAAATACAAAAATATAGATTTGGGGGGGATTGTTTGAGACACTGAGGATGATACTAGGCTCACAGCATTTAAAATTTGTCATTATGATGGTTTCAGAAGTACTATGGATGTGGCATTCTAGATTCAGTTTCACCCCCGATCATCAGAATTCATGTCCTCAAAGAATTAGATATTTTTACTTAGAGATAAGCACCTCTGTGACCCTACTGAAGGAAAAATGTAGGACTCCTCTTAAGCAGAGAGTAGCTAATTTATGCCAATTTTTTCCCTATTGAATCAACAAAAGAATACAGCTGATTCTGAAATATATGAAGTAAGATATTGCATAGGAAACATCATCTACTCTGTACCTGATCCAATAAGTACTAGAAAAACACAGGAAAAATGCAATAAATACTGGTTGGTTATTAGCCAGCTTATTGTATAATCATGGTAAATTGTGCTACTGGATTTTTCCTGGAATCTCAATCAGTGTCTGCCAAATAATTTTAAGATTATGTCCAAAGGTTTAATTTGTGTGATTTATTTCTAGTTTCTAAATAATGGGAGGATAATCTCTAAATAAAACTTTCACACTGCTAATCTCTACAAGTAATTTAGCCACAATTAGGATGCATTAGTCAGGGAAATTTAAAAACAATTCTAAAAACACCCCTTGATTCCTTACCTGGGAAAAGCAATTCAATAGGTCTTTTGGTTCTCTAGTGGCCACAGATGGCCACAGCTGAAATGAAGGGACTATGTTTATTCAGCATGGAAGAATTACCCAGAAAGAATCTGGAAAGTCATAGTGCAAAAATTTTGCTAAAATTTTTCAAGTATTTTTATATCAATTTAGGGGATTAGTTTAATTAGTTTAAGGTAACACTAACTCCTAGAATAAATATTGTTATTTGGTTTAGCAGAGGTAAATTTAATTGCTGATACTGTTATAAATGTCCTCTCATGAATTATAGGGAGCATCCAGTAAAATGAGCAAAGCACAGTGGACACAGGATGAAGAGCCTTTTTATTCTTCTTAACCATCTTACCCTTCTCCATCTCATCAAACAGTTGACTGGTGCAGGTCTTCCTTTTTTTCTCCTATGTCCCTTCCTTCCTCCTCCTATTTTAGTATATGTGCTGCCAAAGCGAGCACGCTTCCTTCCTAATCTTAATCATATAAAAACACTGCAGTTAGTATATACATATACTACTTGGATACTTATAGTGGTCTGAGATGTTGAATGATGATATAGAGGTCAGGGCTGCGGCAGCCAAACTCAAAAGAGATGCTTAAAAAGAATAAAAGCACAATTTACAAAGACATCCCAAGATTAATGGAAACCAACATAGGATGATGTAGTATCGTAGGCTAGCAATAGTGGGAGGTCATTAACACCATTAGGCCTAAAAGAAGACAGGAGAGGAAACAGTTCCTAGAACAGAGAGCGCTGCCAGCACCAGGAAAGACTGCTGTAGTTGATGGAATGAGAAGCCGGCCAAACCTAAAAGATGCAGCCACTTCCAAACCACAACCAGTAGGAAGATGAGAGGGAACAAATTCTCTAACTCCTCTTCCTGCCCTCTGATCCCCTATTGGCTGAAACAAAGCCAAAGCCAAAAGAGCCTGGTTAAAGACTGCAGAGGACGGTTTCTAGGGACACACATACGAGTGGAGAAGAATAGAGAATGCATCCAGCAAAGATAATATGGCCACTTTGTCTGTGAAGCACTGGTACTTTTACTGAAATTAATTGAAAACTTACAGCCATAGAATAATATTCTATATAACAGAAGATTAACTGGAAGATAATAAAAACTTGCAAAATGTTTGCTGAATAAATAAAACTTAGACTGAACTGTAAGCACAATACTAAAGTTAGGTGACTATGGGGCGCCTGGATGGCTCAGTCGGCTAAGCTACTGCCTTTAGGTCAGGTCATAATCCCAGGGTCCTGGGATGGAGCCCCGTGACGCCGTGACATCAGCTCACTGCTCAGCAGGGAGTGTGCTCCTCCCCCTGGCTTGTGCTCTCTCTCTCTCAAATAAATAAAGTTTTTTTAAAAATAAATAAAAAATAAAGTTAGGTGACTAGAACTGATTCTTACTTAAATTTCTAGCAATTAAGGCGCTATCTACTACAGTAGGCTCCTGCTGAAGGTTTATTAGATAGTTGGGTGAATACATGGATGCCTGGATGGACAGATGAATGTATAGATGACTCATAAAATTTTACACACATAACCTTGAATGTTATCTAGTACAGCCCCTTCACTTTGCAAATGAGGAAATGGAGTTTCAAACGGTTTAAAATGCAGTACAGAATTAGAACCCAAATCTTATGACTCTAGGCTCTTCTGACTAAAATATGCCATCTCTCATTTACCATTTAAAACTTGCTTCAGGGCGCCTGGGTGGCTCAGTTGGTTAAGCGACTGCCTTCAGCTCAGGTCATGATCCTGGAGTCCCGGGATCGAATCCCACACCGGGCTCCCTGCTCGGCAGGGAGTCTGCTTCTCCCTCTGACCCTCTTCCCTCTCGTGCTCTCTCTCTCTCATTCTCTCTCTCTCAAATAAATAAAATCTTTAGAAAAATAAATAAATAAATAAATAAAATAAAACTTGCTTCAGTCAAATCAAAGTCAATTACTGATGACAAAAACACACACACACACAAAGCAAGAATCATCTTACAAAGTGGGATCCATGATCCATGGCACATGCCTTCTGTACTAGCCTTACTACTGAACCAATTAGGAGGAATCCACTTGTCTCTGTGCAACCTAAGCGAGAAATGAACTTGCATCCACAGGAAGTATTTGAGAATATAAGTCCCCAGGGGCGCCTGGGTGTTTCAGTCCTTAAGTGTCTGCCTTCAGCTCAGGTCATGGTCCCAGACTCCTGGGATCAAGCCCTACATAGGTCTCCCTCCCCAGCGGGAAGCCTGCTTCTCCCTCGCCCACTCCCCCTGCTTGTGTTCCTTCTCTCACTGTGTCTCTCTCTGTCAAATAAATAAATATAATCTTTAAAAAATTTTAATTTAAAAAGAGAATATAAGGCCCCAGAGCAAATGACACTTAAAAATTTTCATTATCCAATCCAAAATATACATACTTGCCTTAATATTATTCAGTTAAATCTTTATCTTATTTTCTATGAAAGTACAATAAGAATAAGCTAAACCATGCCAAATTATAAGTAAATTTCTTTATCATTTCCCCAAATACATAATTTTCCATTTTAGAGACCTTTAAAGTTCTGATTGATGAAACACAAAGTATTAATTTCTCACTCCTAATTAACATTAACGTTTTTAACTCTTACATGAAGAACCCAACCCTAAAAAAATTTTTGAAACCCTTCTTAATGATACTAGGCTTAAGCTTAGCAATTTTCCACATGTGGTATAAAGATGATTTTATCCTATTGGTATGTTTATTATCTCTATCTCATTGTTGTTTATTTAAACACGCAAAAATGTTGATGCAAACACTGTTTAGTACCATTAATTTTCAGTCATTTTAGTGTTTTAGATGCAACGCATTCATGACTTTAAACATACTGTGTAAAATATTAAAAAGCTTGTTTTGAAGCCAGAAGCTATGTTGTAAATATCACCGGGATGTATTTTTTTTTAACAGATAATACGAGAAAGATCAAATTACTTGTCCAAGGTCACACAACTTGTTTGTGGCACAGATAAGACTAGAATTATATGCTTCTACTTCTTAAAAACTATGTTCATGCCTAGCACATGAATGTTTTTAATAACAACTTTTCAAACCTTGCAATTAACATTTAAGTAAAATCCTGCTCAAGGTGATCTCCGGAGTCCAAAATTTCAATCCACTAAATTGCAGAATTATGTTGTTGCAGATATGAAATTTGGGGAGCTAGCTGCAGGTTCCAAAGCCTTCCCAAGACTCCGCTGTGATCTGGCGCCCACAGCGGCCCTTGTTCCGTCTGGCCTAAATAAGGAGGGGTCAATTTTTGGGTTGTGTCTTGGCCCCAGGCCAGTAGAATCTCCAGGGCAGAGCCCATTCGGTCAGCCTCCGTCTGGCAATATCCCAGGGCTATAGGGATCCACCGTTCACCTCCTGCCTCTCAGGACCGGTAGCCTATTATTTTCCCGCCCATACTGGCTGGCCTCACGGAGAACGCGAGAACTCTATTCCACCGCCCCCACCCTATATCCCCCCCATCAAACACACACCTTTAAAGAAGCAGGGAGGAAGACGGTTGCTGGGTGGAAGCCAGTAGCCAATCCCATTACGTCCAATTTTCGGTAGAGCAGGCTTTTTTTTTTAAACTATCAACATTAGTTGTGATTCTCGACTCGGTAAGTCTAAGTCAGGAAACGACCTGTACTGCGTATCTGTAACTGAGGGGCTTTCTGCGCCAACTAGTGTGGGGTGGAAGTTGCCCACTATAACAGCAGATACACACACCAGGTTGGTGTTGCCACGTGCCCTGGAAGGGTACTCTCTTCCCCGCTTTAATACAAATTGGCAAAGTAAAGAGAAACGGCGTGCCAGACCTGATTTACATACAGCCCAGTGCAAGGGTCTCCGCGGGTCTCCCAATCCAGCCTCCTCCTCAAAGGCAGTGATTTGCAAGCAGTGGGCCGGGAGGTGCACGAGAGGAGGACACACAGATATTGAAGGCTCCCCCGGGTGCGTGCGTGCGTGCGTGACTGCGCACGCGCGTTTTTCCGCACCGCCCGCCACGAGGGGCGCGAGTTCCGCAAGGTCTGAAGCCGCGATTCAGCGATTCAGCGATTTAGCCCCGGCGCTTCCCTGGCGCCGCCGTCGGGAAACTGCGGGGCCTGACCTCGCCGGAGTCCACCGCCAGGGGGCGATCACCCCACGACGCGGGGGCTCTGGAGGGACTGAGAGGGAGGAAGGCGGGGGAGGGGCGGAGTTCCACTGGGGCGCCGCGACCCTTACCTCCAGGTAGTACAGGTCCACGGTAGTGATCTGCGAGTCGAGGAAATCTTCATAGGTGTTGAACTGAGTGACTATGTTGTCCACGGCCGTCAGCCCCTCGTCCCGATCCATCGTGATGCCCGGGCCAAAGCGTCCCTAGCGACCGAGGCGCGAGGGCCGGGTCCGGAGGTTCCACCCACTTCGTTTCTTCCAATCAGTTGGGAACCGGTGCGGAGCCCTGTCCGTTAATCCCGCCCCCGTGTTTGTGTCTGAGTTTCAAGTTTCCCTCTAACTCCTGGGAACGCGGTCTCAAATGACCCGCTGCAAATTCAGGTCTGGCACCAGTCAGCTGACTCAAACCTTGGTGAAATGTGGAGCCACGTGAAAGATGCAAATTACAATCCAAAATTAAAAATTATGTGACTGCCAAGATGTGTAGACAAAGTATTATAGATCGGCGCTATTAATGTCGTTCCAAAACAGTGTTATGCAGGGCAAAAATATCGAGGTGTAATATATATATATATATATATGTATATACAGGTGCCTGAAGGTCTGTTTTTGCAAGAAGTGTATCTCAAAACAGAAGTCTTTGGAAACGGTCTTGTGTCCAAAAACAATAACAAAATATTTAATGATTTGTTAAAGTATTTTAAAAATTATATCTTAAAGGCAAATTATTGCTAATGCTTGGATATGAGGAAGAATTTATGAATTTGCCAAATTAAAGGAATTCAATGAAAATATCTTTGAAGACCTCTTTTAGCCCCAAGTGCTTGTTTTTTAAACTTTTTTAAACTTTGTTTCAATAAGCACACAAAGACCTTGCTTTTGTTTAAGCTGCCTTTCTTAAAGGGCAAAATATCTGTGGAAAATTAGAAAGTAAAGGTTCCTACTAAAGACGTTTCCTTTAGAACAAGTTTTGCATTTTTAAAACGGACTTAAAGTAATCCAATGTGAAAGCTGGCAAAACTTTTTAGAATTCATATTTAGATTTTAATATTTTACAGATCATATTTGCAAATTAACATATAGTACAATACTGAGCCTGTGGTAGTTGCTCTTTAAGGACTTCTTGAATTGATTTTGAAGATTTTCAGATGTGCTAAAAAAAATTTAATGAAAATATCTGGTAAGATACTTGGCGGTCAGTTAGCTTCCCCAATTTAAAAAGGTCATCTCAAAAATTAGGGTGTCACAGATGTGCAAATTTTAAGTGATATAGATACAATAATCTCTAAGATATCACTGACTTATTTTTTAATTAATGAAAATATCCTGAAATATTTTAAAAGGCATTTTGGACTTTTTTTAATGCAATTTAATCATTGAATTCAGAAGAACAGAAAGGATAGGAAAACCCTGAACACTCAAAATACAACAACAAGTAAAGAGGGAGGCCAGCTGGCTCAGCCAGTAGAGCATGCAACTCTTGATCTCAGGGTAGTGAGTTGAAGCCCCATGTTGGGTGGAGCCTATTAAAAAAACATGACAAAACAATATTTATTGAACCCTCCCTGCATGCCAAGCACTGTTATAAGTGCCACAGATTGGTTACATCCTTTTTTTTTTTTTAAGATTTATTTATTTATTTTGAGAGAGTGAGAATGAGAGAGAGAGAGAGTACATGAGAGGGGGGAGGGCCAGAGGGAGAAGCAGGCTCCTCGCTGAGCAGGGAACCCGATGCGGGACTCGATCCTGGGACTCCAGGATCATGACCTGAGCCGAAGGCAGTCGCCCAACCAACTGAGCCACCCAGGCACCCCAGATTGGTTACATCCTTAACTAGTATTTGTGCTACAATTAACAACCACCAACAACTTGACATCATCTCATATCTAAAAAGATAATGAAAATTCAAATAGCCCAAGAATGAGAAGAAATCCATGTGACTTAAGATGTTCTTAAGATGAACATAATTCTCAATATTCTTTGTTGTCTATAGAGAATAGAGAAGTGACTTCTTGAAGTCAGTCCTGAAAGAAGCATTATTCTGTGTGAACTGAGCACAAGCAAAGGCTTAGAAAAGTCTCAGCCACTTACTATAAACAGAAAATACAAGTATTTGCTTTAGTGTAATAATATTTATTAAGACTACCATGTGCCAGCTCTGTTCTAAATACTTCCTATGCATTATCTTGTTTAATCCATGACAACAAATCCACTAGGAAAGTAGCATTAGCATTATTCTCAATATAGAGACGGAGTGAATCTAAATGGATTGGTGGAAATCTTAAAGATAAAAATAGCAGCACAACTTATTACTCCTGATTGCCCACAAAGGAAAGCCAAGGTGAATAGAGATTTGAAGAGCCACATGGAATTAATTATGAAAGTTGGGGGTTTTTTTTGTTTATTAGAAAAAATATCAAATTATGAAAGGAAGCATGGACTTAGCATAAATAACAGGAGAAAAGGGATGGTATATTCCAAGATGTGGAGGCAAGAAACATTAGGTTCTGTGTAGGGGAAAAGCACATTGTTTTGATGTTATGAGGGAGCAGGTAAGAAGAGTAGAGAAAAAGAAGCTTCCTAAAGGAGGAAACTTGGTAGGAAGGCTTTCAATGCTAGATTGAAGAGTTTGCAAAAAGTAGTAATCATGTCCTTGAATAACGTAGGATACAATAAAGATAGCTTTGAGTGATGATCACGCACTATTCAAAAAGTAGTGTCTTACTGTCAAAGCCTCCAGGGTGCTTCTATTTATATTTATATTTGCTTTGAGGTCCTCCTCCATCAAAATTGCATCACTTTCAAGAAACAGTAAAGCATCTAGAAAATCTTGGGTTCATTAAACTATAGCACTTTGATTATAAGGACCTATATTTTAGTAAAATGCAAGGTTATTGCTTATGTATCAAACTGTTATCCATTGTGATGGCGCATTTTCAGTGGAAACCTCATTAAATTTACTATTTGGTAAGCAACTTGATGAAGTAATCTCTAAAGCATCTAAATTTAAACAATTATGTAAATATTTTCAGTCAATGAGTCTGGCTGTATCTTCTAACTCAAAAAGGGTGATTTTCAACAAATCGGTTTCTCTATGAATATTTAAAGAGAAAAAGAAAAGTTACAAGTTTAGACTTGTTTCGCACAGAAAGGCTTGAATTATTGTAAGCCTAATTCAACTGTGTTTTGTTTAACTTTCAATTTAAGTTCAAAACCACTTTTTGACTCGTGCCTAAGAAAAAGACGGCGACAGAGAAATTAATGAGCTTCAGCAAGTCCCTATTTTCCAATTGCAAAGTCTTTGTTATGATTTGGAAATACTTTATTTTGGATAACATGCATTCCTACTTAAAGTCCAGGATTTTTGAAGATTGAAACTTGGAATTTAGCACCAAATCCTAGAAATTCGATTCCCTGCAAAAGGACCAGCAAGGATTATGTATATTCACGGCAAAATTCCAAAATGTAAAAGAGAATGAACATGAGCTGTACAAGAATAACAGAATATATGCCATATTTAGCTTAGTTCTGAGTAAAAAACAAAAACAAAACAAAAAGCAAAAAAAACACACAAAAACCCAAGGTAAAAACCAAGGTCATAGGAATGTAGGCAAAATCTAAGTATAAGTATCTCTTGAAAATAAACAGGCTTTGGTACTGTACTTACCTGGTGGAAGTATATAAAAGAATTTCAAATTAAACCCTACACTTTTTTTTTTTAAATTTTTATTTATTTGACAGAGAGAGTGAGAGCAGGAACACAAGCAGGGGGAGTGGAAGAGGGAGAAGCAGACTCCCCACTAAAGGCAGATGCTTAACGACTGAGCCACCCAGGCGACCCAAACCCTACACTTTTCTATTTGCCAGATGTTCACCAGTATACTATGATGTCTGGGAAAGTGAATAGGAAACATACTTTTAGTATGTTGACAGGTTCAGATGGGGAATGCCTTGCTTATTATGCTAATGAGATGCTAAACACTCTGAGTAAGAACTTGTGGCTCTATTAAAATGGACTTAACACATTACCATATCATAAGAAAGAAAAACATATGCTTGCTCTAATAAGATAAGAGATTTGTGTCTGATGTTGCCCAAGTGCTTATTAAGTTTCTGTGGATTGCAGATGAGGACTATTGCTTAATCATCAGCCAAGGAGAGCTCTTTTGTGCTTTGTAATAATGATGACATTGAATTTATTTAAGATATTTCTGTGATGAGATCACTGGACTTCCACACTGTCTCAGTTATTCTAAAGTGCTAGAGTTCCGGTTCCACAGCTTCTATCCGGAGACACAGTGTGTTCATGTGCCATAACTCCTGAGTTTTATCCTCTCTTGACTATATCTAACTGTGCATAAGAGGAAGGATCCAGAAGACAGGAAGACAAGTATAAGAGTAAACTCCCAGGTGTGGGGCTGATGGGTGTTAACAGCTGATAAAAGTTGAAAAGTACTACTGTGCTATGGGATAGATGATAGCTGTCATAGCTACAACCATCTCTTTGGAACAGAAGGAAACTTGGACTCTCAATGGCTCTGTAAGGTTTTTCTAACAATTTCACTGAAAATTCCCTCAACTTGCTTGTCTACATGGAAATCAGGCCCTAACCTAAAACACCACTTCTCTTGAGTGGCCAAACACTCTTAGGAAACATCACATGGAAATAGATGGCCACCACTATGGATGCAAAGCTGCCAATTTCAAGTGGGTACTCAGCTCTGCCCCCACAGTCTTACTGTGTTTTTTCCTTCAATTCACTCTGATTTTCTTCAATGAATTTTCCTATTTTCTCTTCTCCCTTTAATCCTATATCCTCTTGTCTATAAAGCAGATAATCTTAACTTCTCCACAAATGAAGTAAAACTCATCAGTTGAGATATTCTTTAGTCAAATATACAAGCTTACTCACACATCAGTTCTTTACTTCTTCCGTTTGTTTCAAAGGAAGAGATTTACCTCCTCTTAGACCTCCATTCTACACTGGTTCTCTCCTTTTGCCTTCCCAGGATTTCTTATTTTGATTATACCCTCTATCATGAATGTATCTTCTCCTTTCTTTCTCTTCTTTCAAAATCTCTCCAACCGCCCCCACCTCTGTCCCATTTTAAAACCAGCAAAAAAAAAAAAAGACAATAACAACAACAACAAGCAAATGAACTTAAAAGCAAACCTCTCAA